TTTTCTTATAATTTTTTTTTTTTGACAAACGATGTTATTTACACTAAAAAATAAAAATTAGGATTTTCTCTCCTCCTCTCACACTCTATTATTTTGTCTTTCTCTTGCTATAAAAAATTAATATAAGATGTTAACGTGACTTAACCATGACCGTTCAAATAGGAGGAGAGGGAAGGGGAGGGAAAAAAAGGGGAGAGAATCCTACTCCAAAAAATAAGGGGTGAACTTAGCCTCACAATAGGTTAGCAATAATGTGATCCAAATTCACCTTTAACAAGAATCAAACCTAAGACTTCTCACTTACAAGTAAAGAGGAATACCACTAGACCATGGTACTAAGTGACTTCTTTTATTTAGTACAAAATATATTCTACACTAATCTATATTAAAGAGAGAGAGGATTAACCATCCCTCTAAAGATGCGCTGGGTTAAAAAAAATGAACTAACCATTTGGGCAATTTACCACTTGCCATTTTCTAGTGAATTTGACTGACGTGAACGTTAAGGGTAGAAGCACTCCAAATAGATAGCACTTTTTTTTTAGTATCTTAGGCGTCATATAGTATTTTTTATTTGAACAAAATTTTTGTTTATGTGACCGGGAATACAAGTCACTTGATGCAACATTTTTTTTATGATATATTTGTTAACGTAGGGTCCTATTAGTAAACGTAGAAACCTATGAAGGGACATAAAGGTTGTCAAACCAGGCACTCGTGGTAGTGTTTTCTCAACCATCTAAAGCTAAGTGGACTACTTTCTCATTCCCCGATTTTGAAATACCTCCAGGACCAACACGTGACATCAGAACATACCTATCTAACTTTTAGGCCCCGCTTCCGAGTCAATAACGTAGTAACTTTTCTTTTGTCGCATCACTGCATCTAACTTTTGTGTTAAACTACCTACGTACCAAAGACGGGATCAAGTCCTTCGTAGTTCACAGTTCTATTAAGCTCTGAAATTGCTCAAGGCATTATCTAGCAAGAAACATAGATTTCAGGATCACACAATGGAACTCAACGAGGATGTCTCACTAGATTCCAGACTACATAACTAAACCAAATGACAACCAAGATTGTGATTTCGTTAATCACGTCTATTATAATGTTTTCCAACCAAATTCCATAGTCACAACAAATAATCGATTCAATAATTCAAAGATGCAAAATATTAACACTTAATTATGTTAATCCACCAACAAGAGCAAGTATCATTTCATGAAATTTAATAAAGCAAATCTACAAATCCTACCTGAATTCCAAACAATAACATTGTAACCCTAAGTTAACAAACACAATCATGAGCAATTTCTATCACATGAATCCAAGGTTTGGAACAAACTTAACTGAAGCGAATAGGGAAAGAGATTCCTAACCACTCAACAAAATCTTATGAAGATAGAATTCCAAACCACTCAACAGAACTGAACATGAGCTAATATTCTGGACCGCTTAATGGAATCCAACTAGGAAATAGTCGCCCATCGCGGATTTGCCAAGCACAACCACTTCTTACAACCTTAAGTAGGCAATGATCATCCATGGTGGATATACCACGCGTATCACCCCTAGAATATGTATGGTCCCTCATCGTGGATTAGCCAAGCACAACCATAGGCATATCTAATAGTGTACGCAATGACGACCTGTCGCATAAATATCAATGATGATTACTCCTAGAATACAAATGGTCCCCATCGCATATTAACTAAACAGGACCATATTCTATAGTACTTGCTCTAGTGTACTTATTCTCGTGTTGGGATTATGCCATATTAGTCAGAAAGGTTGTGCTATTGTCGGAGTTACTGGCCTTACCGGAATGCCTTTAGACTAAGTTAGTTAAATGCTACAGGATATGAAAGGAAGAAGGGATGTGCAATCAACACATATCCATTTCGCAAAACTATAAATAAAAAAAAATAGTCAAATTGGGCTCTTTGTTTCATGGTAAAATGATTTAAGCTTTTCGAAGTAATAAAATATTAGAACAAAATAAGTAAAGGTATCAAAAACCCTCCATTCTTGTGTTTTATGGGAAAATTCAGGCCTTTGCGACAAACTCTTCTCCACATCATATGAAGTTAGGGCTCGTGATTCTTCAATCTATCATGAAGTAATTGTAATCGTCATCCTTGTTTTTGTTGTCACTCACGAATAGAATTTTTACTACCAAATCAATTCCGATTTGGTCCCAGAAGTTCTCTTTATAAAGCTTAAGATGTTCTCAACATATCCTTAGAAGGAACTTTCCTTGAAATATACTATCTTGACCTTCAAAATACCCAAAACGTTCAGAAACATTAATTTGAAAAAGCTACATGTTGTGCCTTCTTTTCTTCGCCATGGTCAAATGGCTTGAATTAAATTATGGAACTTTGACACAATTATTTTGAAAGATTCACAAATCCACTCCAATTGGGGGCTACGACCCTTCCACATACCAGTGAGTGGGCTTTTGGTTTTCCTTATATACCTATATACTTGAGATTTTTCCCAGAAAATCGATTTAAATGAAATTATGTTTGAAATGCCATGCCTATTGATTTATGCTTAGACTATGAATTGGTATGATATGTGCATATTGTGATTTGACGCGGTGGACGCTCAGGTAAGTACCAAGTGAGTTATAGATTGTTTATGTGAATTGATGATTATGTGAGGTGTGTTGAGAGCTCATAAACTTGCACCCCGGTGTTAGTGCTCCTGCCTGTGGTTAAGGCACAGTCCTTTACGTGATGTTCACCTCCCGCACCATATGCTCACCTTGGATCCAAGTTAGGTGCATAGTCCTGTCGTACATACCACTTTAGGTGGTTCCGACTCGTGTGCAGGTATAGTTGTTGAGATGTACACGTTAGGTGACTCCAGCTAGATGGATGAGCTCTAGATTCAGCCGTACAGGTCACGTTAGGTGACTCCGTCTGACATATCATTTGCATTAATTTATATCACCTGGCTTACATATATTTTTATGCTGAGATATTCGACATGACATATTTGTGAATTTTGGCTATTTTGAGTATGGTTGTGGTATAGATATATATATTCTATTTTCTGGGAAATTATACAGGTTTTACGGTAAGGGGTTAGAACTTTTGAGAAATGAAATGATTTTGAAAAGCTTTGTTTTTGCTCACTCACACTTTCTGTTTTGCGCCCCTCCAGGTTCTAGTTAAGAGTGCTTTTTGGTGGCTTGCAAGGAATCCACGGCAGCTCTGACAAATTATCACCATTGTAGGATTACCTTTGGTGTTGTATAATTAGTATTCGTCATGTTAGACTGCAGTTCGGCTACTTATGCTTTGGTTGTGAATTCACACTCATTTCGTCTTGCACTTGTTCTTATTAGTGCTCTAGTTTGTTTGGTTTTTATTTATTTGCATTTCTTATATTAATATTGCTTCCGCACTGTGCACATGGCTACGTCACCCTCACGTGACGGCCAACACGCCTTGATTTCGGTCGGGGTGTGTCATCCAATATTATATAAATAGGCTTTTAGGGCATAGCTCCAACATAATGAAAGAACACGTAAGGGAATCTCATGTGTTTATGAGGAGTTGAACTATGTCTCATATTGCCAATTGATTTTATTGTAAGACCTCAGCTTCTTTTAAGGTGCACCACTAGCATATCCATTGAGTGATTAAACACTATATTTCTCACCCTAATTCACTAGATTCAATATAAATAGCGAGTCACAATGGCACATGTGTTTTATTTTCAAAGGCTTAATTGTATCAATGACCCTTGAACTTTATTCCTAATTTAATTTTAGTCATGAACTATCATATTAGTTTCTTTAGACTTCAAACTTAGCAATGTGTTGTACCATTGGTCATTTTCACTAATGCCGTCTATTTTTCCGTCAAATTTAGGGGTTTAAAAATGAGAAATGAAAAAGAAAAAAAGATCTAAAAATTAAATTTTTTGTGTGTGTAAGAAAATTGATACATAGGAATTTTTTTCATAGTTCAATATATGATTGATTTGTAAGTTGTTTGAGTCCAGCCACTATGTGATCTCTTACCTACTTTGAAATCGCATTGCCTAATTTTTACAAGTTAGCTAAAGTCCAACCATTTTCATTTGGTATTTTATAGTTTAAATTTCATTTTGTTTTAAGTTGTAGATAATAATTTATAAATTTTCATTTGTATTTTTATCTATTGCTTTTTGAAGTTTTAAGTTGAAACTTCTAATATACCCTAAATTTAATATATATATATATATATATATATATATACGGCGTTAGTGAAAAAGACTAATGACGCAACACATTGTTAGGGTCGAGGACTAAAAACACTAATATAAGAGTTGCGGGACTAGTCACTTAGTACTACAGTCTAGTGGTATTTCTCTTTACTTATAAGTGAGAGGTCTTAGGTTTGATTTTCACTAAAGGCGAATTTGAACCGCATTATTGCTAGCATATTGTAAGGCTAAACCCAACATTCCTCTTAGTGTAAACAATATCGTTTGTTCAAAAAAAAAAAAAAAAAAAGGAAGAGAGTTAAGGGACTAAAATTAAACTAGAGATAAAATTCTGTGACCATTGCTACAGTTAAAGCTTATTTTTAAAATACAAAGCCAATAGAGAGTATCAACTCTAATGTCTTCTATTTAGAAATGAAAGAATAGTACCACTAAATTGTAACCACAATAACAATGTTGCTAGAATTTTAAAAGTAAGAAAAAAAACATGTAGTGCTATTTTTATATCTATTTTTACTTTTCATACATTCTCGTAATTTTTGAACGTTGAAATATAAGTAAAAAGTAAAAATAAACGTGAATAACACTTTTCTTACAATGGGGCATTTGGTGGGGTTGGTACGAAGAATCACGCGCCACGAGTGCGAATACGAGAATAAGCAGTCCAAAGCAAAATGATACAAAACAAGAAAAACAAATAAAAAACAGAGAAATAAATCGCCGGCTTTGTTGGTGTTTGGAAGAAAGGCAAACGACTGTTTGGACTCAACTACTTTCAGAAGGAGGAGAGGGAGAATTTTCGGAACAAAGGAATCATCTTTCAAGGAATCACAACAATCCCATCTTCCCATTCAAAAAAAATCCCATTTCCCATCTTTCTGGTTTTTCAATTTCTTCCAATACTTCCATCTCTTCTCTCCCTCTTCTGTGCGAGGAGAGAGTGTCTCTGGAGGCCGGCCTTCCTGTTGCGTGCCCTAGATCTTGAGAGAGTCAACGAAGAATCACCGTTCCCGATCTTCAATTCTCGGTTTTAAGCTCCTTTCAGATCATAGCATCAGGTATCTCCTTCTTCTTCTTCTCCGAGTGTCAGAAACTGAGATTTTGAATTTTCGTTTGGGTTGCGGTTGCAGTTGCAGTGGCTGTTTTGATTTTGCGTACTTTCTGGGCAGCCACACGGGAAATAAGAAAATGGGGAAGAATTTTCGGAGTTTTGGGCTGCTGGGTTTGACTGTTAGGGGGCAATAGAGATTGCGTCTTGTAGTTGGGGTTTTACTTTTCTTGGGATAGATTGGAATCTGTGGGTTGGTTTGACTTTTATTTACTTGGATTTTCGTACGTGCATACTTATCCAGATGTTTGGTATTAGTTGTTGGACTGCTTCTTAGATTTGAATTCTGAACATAGGGTTTTGTTGCTTTGGTTTGATCTTTTATTTGCTCATATTTACACTGTTACCGCTCCGATTGGTTGCCTGAGGCGAGGTGAGGAGACTGAAGGGAAACGAAAAACCAAAACAATGAATTATAGTTTACTTGCTTTTCTTGGCAAACAATTATAAGCACTAAACATAACTACTCGATGATCATGAATTCGATCTGATTTCTGATATTGCTTAATCTTTGAATTGTATCGTTGCATTTCTTTGTGATCTAGGCACATTCATTCTAGTTACTTATATGTGCGTATGTCTACATGATGTATCTTTTGCTGTTTAGTATTAGGTTTACTACTGATCTAGTGACATTATTATAAGAAATGGTATAACCGATTTGTCAACATGCTTGTTTACCTGCTTAGGATATTCTTTTTTGTGTTGCAGAATAAATTACCATGAACTTAGTCCGCTTATCATTGCATATAGGACCTCTAATTTACCAATTAATCCTCTTAAACTTTCAGATTGCAGAAATTTCTACACCGATCAGACAGCGCAATGGTGGATAGGGACTATGGGCAGGAATAAGATCATTAGGTGATGAAGTTGTGATGCATTTATTTTAGATGAAGACGAGTCATTGGCGATTAGGCATGGGTGACATGCAGATCTTGCCTGGGGCACGCCATCGCCCACCTTTGAAGAGGCCAGTGTGGATTATTGTCTTGGTTTCTTTGGTCAGCATCTTTGTGATTTGTGCTTTTCTCTATCCACCTCAAAGCAGCGCTGCTTGTTACATATTTTCTTCCAGAGGTTGTAAGGCTATTTCAGATTGGCTTCCACCTGCTCCTGCAAGGGAATTTACTGACGATGAGATTGCATCCCGTGTTGTGATTAGAGAGATTTTAAGCGCACCTCCTATTCAATCCAAGAATCCAAAAATTGCATTCATGTTCCTTACACCAAGTGCATTGCCTTTTGAGAAGCTGTGGGATAAGTTTCTCCATGTAAGGTTTCATCTGCTATTGATTTATTGGCCCAAGAAAGAAATCTTCTGTATTGTTTTTTCCTTTTATTTCTTTTTGGTTTCTTTAATACTTTTTTTCCTAATATGCCTGTTCTGTTTAGTTGGCTTAAACATATTCAGATAGTATATGATCTTTGTCACATAGTGCTTAGAAAGTATAAGAGTAGAAAGTGATCAACTTATATTGTTGTCCCTATAATCTTTCACAAGGATAGTTGTTGGACTATTCACATACAAGCAAGAGTCTCCATGCCTGAATTATTTTGTGGTTACCGATTAACAGTTAAAGACGGTTGGACCAAGAAGCTTAATTCCATCAAGCTATCTAATATTCAAGTTTGACAATGCAGCATAATGGTTGATAAATGCTTGAATTGTCGGTTGTATTAGGTGGGAAATAACAAGTTTGATGGGAGAATCATTCTGTATGAATGAGGCAAAGTTTATGGAAATGTTCTATACCAAAATGACACACATGCTTCTTATTTGTAAATTTTTTATGTCTTTGTGGCTGATGAGATGAGTTGGAGTCTTCTTTCACTGTTACTTTTGGTGCTTTAAGTTCGTCCTTATTTAATCCGGATAAATTCCATGTGGTGGCCCCTTGGTGCTCTTTTCAAGTGATTGTTTTCATATTTCTGACTGATTTATAATTTGTTGGTATACAACAGACGTGTGTATGTTAAATTAGGTATTTTTCATAAAAATATGTGATAATAAATGTTCAACCTGTTCAATCAATATTTGAGTGTTGATAGAGCCTGTTCAAGTAGTTATCGATTCACATGCTTAGCTTAAGCATTTCCGTTTTTTGTTGGCAGGGTCATGAAGGGAAGTTCTCTATCTATGTGCATGCTTCTAAGGAAAGGGCAATTCATTTGAGCCGTTATTTTTTTAATCGAGAGATTCGCAGTGACCCGGTAAACCTGCTTAGATTACGTTACTTTACAAAATCTATGTTTCATTTTTAATCCATATAACTCTCAGGGAAGCTTAGGATAATATTTAATATTAACTTAAATAGCAGAGACTTACTGATTATTTCTTCATTTAATCTTGGTCATTTTAAGATTGCAGACATATTGAATCCATGACTATTTGTCATGCAAGGGTTATAATTGTGTAGATGAGGTTCCAGTGATAGGTAGAAGAGTATAAAGATTATACATCTATCAGTAGTGATTGTGATTTATTATTGTCATGTTTAACTAGTGATTTAGGACATTAATGAGATCGATCATTGATTCATGTTTCCAGGTGATTTGGGGAAAAATTTCTATGGTAGATGCAGAGAGAAGATTATTGGCAAATGCTCTTCAAGATCCTGATAACCAGCATTTTGTCTTACTTTCTGAAAGGTGATCAAATTCTCAGTACCTTTAGTAATCCTTTTTGTCAAGTTCTGATTATTTCTGCTGTTATTAATCTCATTAATTCTTTCTGTTGTGCAGTTGTGTACCATTGTACACATTTGACCATATCTATGACTATCTGATGAATACAAATATAAGCTATGTTGACTGGTAAGTAAAATCTTATTTTATGAGCTACTGTTTTAGTTTAAATGTGTTGGCAGCTCACCGTACGATTGGATTTGAATTTGATGAATAAGTACAGTTATGAATGTTGCCTGAGTAGGTTTTAATTTTTTTTATCCTCTGAAATTATTTGGAGCCAACTTGTTCCTAATTGATAAATTCATTTTTCTTAACTGTATACTTGTGTATTCTTTTCAGCTTTGAGGATCCTGGTCCACATGGAAATGGGAGGTATTCTGAACACATGTTACCTGAAATTGAGAAGAAAGACTTTAGAAAGGGTGCACAGGTATTTTTTTATTATTATGTTGAGGTTGTAGATGTAGTTTTATAATTTGTGGAAATTTGATTTGTTGTCCATCTCTTGATGGCCATTTTTATTAGTTTTATATAACTAGCCTGCAATATCAACAAATGTAAACAGTAGGGATATATGACCACCTAAAAATACTTTTCATTCCAAGGTAACACTGAAAGTCTAATATTCTGAATTATATGCAGTGGTTCTCTGTGAAGCGTCGGCATGCTGTGATAGTAATGGCTGATAATCTATACTACTCGAAATTCCGGGACTACTGTAAGGCAAGTTTTCCTTCTCAGCATTTGTATATCTACCTTGTTTAAGTTCTTAAATGTTCTTATATTAGATATTTTCGCCTGTAATTTGTTTATCATATATCTATAGGCTGTAGCATATCTGCATGTATGATACTTTCATCCTTGCTTTCTCTTATTATTGGTATAATAGATTTTGGGTCGCTCTTTATTTGGTCGTTTTCAGATGATCTAAGCTAACAATGCTGAATTTTTTAATTACTTTTTGTCAAAACATATGCTTGATTTCAATATATGGCTTGCTTTCCCCTTCTCATGCTTGGCCCACTGTACAGCTGAGATGCAAGTATCTAATAGGTTTTTTCTGTAATCTTTAAAACCATGATACTGTATGTTAACTGGTCTCAATTTGTTGATGTGGATTGTCTTGGTAATAACAGCCAGGTTTTGACGGGCGCAATTGCATTGCTGATGAACATTACTTGCCAACCTTTTTCAATGTGAGAACTCTTGAAAATTTTCTCCAGTGTTCCCTTCTGTTCTCTGCCTGAATGAAGTTTCCTTTGTACATATTTTCAGATAATTGATCCTGGTGGCATTGCAAACTGGTCCGTGACTCATGTTGATTGGTCTGAAAGAAAGTGGCATCCGAAGTTATACAAGTCTCAGGATATTACACATGAGCTTCTGAAGAATATTACGGTAGAATTCTTCTAAAAGCTTTTGCATATGTGTGTTTTTTATTTATGGATAACAGCTCCATCATGCATGCTTATCTAGTTTGGATATGTGTTGCATAGCTATGTCCACACTGAATGCCGATTCCATGGCAGTTCATCCCTGGCTATTTGTGTCACCTGTTGAGCCTCTCATGTTATGTTGTGTCGCACTCCAGCCGTTAGCTGTTCAAAACCATACAAACACCCCACTTATCTTACAAAAAAAAAACAAAAAGAAAAATGACAAAAGGAATAGTCTAGGGATTGTTTTTTTAAGATTTTAGTATTAACACTTTGACCTTTTAACGAAGATGGCTGGAAATGGTTTGGTGGATATATAAATCAAAGTGTCGTTATAATTGCTTTCTTTGTGCCATCAGTTCCAACATAGATAGTGTTTGAAAGAACAACAATTCGAATGTAAATAGTTCAAATTTTCTGATGGCGACTTTGGTTGTCTTGTGGCTGCAGTCGATTGATGTGAGCGTGCATGTAACCAGTGATGCGAAGGTATGCATCTAAAAGATTCGTGATACATGCTTATGGAATTGGACTGCTTGGCAATAATTTTATTTACATTTTCTATTTTGTTTTTCAGAAAGTAGTACAGAAATGGCCTTGCTTATGGAACGGTATAAAACGACCTTGTTACTTATTTGCAAGGAAGTTTCATCCAGAGACTCTCAATGACTTGTTACGCCTTTTTGCCAACTATACAACAGTTTGAGCCGGATATTTTTTTACTCCATATTCTTTGGTTGGATCGCCTTCGACCCTTTCACTCCATCCTGTATCCAGTATATCTGACGAAGTTGTAAATTGCCAAATTATCGAGGCTTGATTGTTCCCCACCTCCCGACCACGATTCTCGAGTGCAAGGGCAACTGGCAGAGCAGTTAGGGTGACCCGAGTCAGGCAGGAGGCTAACAGGCTAGTGTTGCTTCCCTGGGGATGATACGAGGATATGTTGTTATCTCTACGAACCCTTCATTTTGCGCTATCGGTGTTTAGTGTTCTAGAACAAATTTTTTTGGGCATCTCTTTCACTGCATCTTGTGGTTAGTCTTTGTAAAAGATGAAGTTTGAACTCTCAAGTGGCAAAAATATACAACACGCAATTGCGCCGTGAAATTCACGCTTCAAAAGATATTTCCGGCATGCTCCTGCAGGTGTGGCAAAATTCAGGGAGAAGAAAACTAGAAACGGTGATTGAATTGCATATCATTATCTAGTACATTATCATGTCATGAGAAAAGAAGAGAGCCCATTTCATGTGTTCAAAATTGCTCTTTTTTTCATCTTTGAAACCAGACTTCAATGTTCATTCTTCTACTTGCAAATAATTTATTTTCTCCCTAGAAATTTTATAAGAGAAACTGTTCTATTTTGAGTCTTTGATTGAAGATTATTGATATAAAAAATCATTCGAATTGGAGATTGTTTGGTTATTCAAATATATAGAATAAATCAACGGTATAGCTATATAAAGTAACACATTAATGTTGAACTGTATATTTATTTGATAAATACTTTTCCTCTCGCAAAACCTTTTATATGGTGAACCTGAATTTGCTCACCACCCTTACTAAGTGGTGATGATTACCACCATATTGAGAACGACGTCACATGACTATAACCATAATAATCAATTTAATTTTTTTTATATAAAATGTATTAAATTACAATCTCTTCCAAATGAATTTGGGTTCCAACTAGATACTCACATCCGATTCGTTCATTGTACATCGTGCGGTCAGCTTTTGTTAAGGAATTACAAAGAGAACCCGAAGAAGATCCTCATCCCTTCCAAATATGCTTTCATCAAATCTTAGGATTCTTCACCATCATATTTGTTTTTTAATGGAAAAAAATAAAATAAAATAAAATAAAATCTGACGTAGAGGATCCTCGACGTATGGTATGCTGTTACCAAACTTGTCAACGAGTAACATAAAAACTATTAAATGAAGAAAATTACTAAAATAAAAACACAAGAGTGGCTATAATCGCGTGCCAAATTTAGCAATGTTGATATGTTGGATTATATGTAAAGATTGAGCAAGACATAATCTTTTTACCTAAACCCTTATAATTATTCGTGCAATTGAGAATCTGCTCTAGTAAATGTCAAATATGCTCGATGAAAACAAATTTGCCACGAAATAGTTATCTCATTTTTTATTGCCTGTATTAGGATTTTGGATTAATCTTTCCGGTGTCCGTATCAAAACCACCTTTGAATTTCTTGTTAATTTTGGAGCTAGCCAAGTCTGACTAGTCTCCCTTGCTTGTTTATTAAAGATCTGATGTTTCGAAGTTTCGAACAATATTGTAGATCCTTGGTTGGAATTCTGAATGTTATATCTAGAAAGCTGGACGCAAGGTAGAATGCGCCATTTTCTTTTATTTCCCTGGAAGGACTTTAGATGCCTTAGGTGATATTTTGCAAAGTTTATTTCACTCAAACCTTTATTTCTATTACAGTGAAACACTTAGAACTTTTCATCATTGGCTTCCATTTCATGAAATATAATTTAATCCAACAATCTTTACAAATAAACGAACTCGGAGTTAAGTAATAAAATCAAACACGAATAAGCTTGCAGGCCCGACCCTTGATAACATGGAAACGGAACATGTTATGCCTAACTTAGTGTTTATAAAGATTTCCACTACAATCCAGTTAGCACTATGGTCTGGTACTTGTTAGTGAGAGGTCTTAGGTTTGATTCTCGTCAAAGGCAAATTTGAACAACATTATTGCCAGCCCATTGTGAGACTAAGCCCACTCATCTTCTTTGGTGTAGATAACATCGTTTGTTCAAAAAAAAAAAAAAAAAAAAAAAAAAAAAAAAAGATGTCCACTGTGATAATAAGAGTACCACCCTCTGGTCTTAAGACCTATGAAAAATCTTTCACTCCGAGACTTGCCTTGATGCATTGATCCGATTAAGCATGATAAATTGACTAAATTAGTCTGGAATGACCTCCATATCATAATGTCAGCTCTATAGGGACTTAAAGTCCATACTACCAATAAAAAAAAATAAAAATAAAAAACAAAAATAATAAGAGCTAGTAATTAAGTCTCTCCTAAAAATCCACTAAACTGCATTCTCATGTCAATTTGATCTCTAAAACCGTTGTATCTCATGGTCTCATCTTCTTATGGTGTTGCATATGCTTTGGCACAATTAATTAGTCTCTTTCTCTATTGGAATTACTCTAGACACACGAAATTGCCATTTTCTTCTCCTTTTAAAGATCAAAACAATATTGTTGATGCACAAAATCAACGAGGACTTTGGTATAACAGAAAGTGTTAAGTTTCTGACCTTCGCTAGATTACTCCAGTCACCAATGTGGATAAGTATGTAAAGAGATAGAGACGGAGAAGCAAACACAAGATGTACGTGGTTCACCCAGATTGGCTACATCCACGAAGTAGAGGAGCTCTCATTAATTGTGAAGGGTTTACACAAATACATAGGTTCAAGCTCTCCTTTAGTGAGTTATAGTGAATAGTTTAATTCCAATGACATTAGGCATTATTATGGGAGAATGATCCCCTTTTATAGAAGAGAGTTTCTAGCTTTGTTCTGACATTGACACGTGTCATGTTGTGATTGGTCTCTTATATCGACACGTGTTGCACTGTGATTGGCCTCTGATATTGACACGTGTCGCATTGTGATTGGCCTCCTAGTTGGAGGGAAAGTCTTGTGGGTCCTTAACGGTATACTGTTGACCGGTGCTCAGTAGTTTCGGGATTGGTCAAGTATGGTATAAACAGTGATCCCCTAAGTTCCCGAGTGAGGGAAGCTCCTCGGTTGGGGACTTGCAAGATCCAAGCCATTGAGTAATCGCGAAACTTCTAAGTACCGAAGCGTGATATCATTTTCATTTGCCTCTGCCCCATAGGTAGACGTGGCCTCTTCTCTGGAAGTACTTTTCCACCATCCAGGGTTGGTATGAGATATTTCTATTGTTGATATGAGATATTTCTGTTGATGACAAAGTAGTGGATGTGGTATAGCAAGGCTTTGTTCTTCGGTGACGGTGCTAGCGAAAGGCTATTGAAGCTTCTCGATCTCTTCAATTAAAGCAACGATGCTGAGCTTGAATTTGACTTAGACTCCTCCGTCTGGATTGTGTGGTTCTATAGGAAGGGTGTCGTGCTGTAGTGATTTGTTCCATCTCATCGTTGAAACTTCTGCTTCAATCTTTAGTATAGCAGAAGTGGTGTGCAACCTTTGCATTTAAATGGTCCTTCAGAGCACTACTTCTCAGCGACTCATCCATGCTTGGCAGCTTCAATGTAAAGAGCCAATATCATACCAACTGTTCTGAGGAATTTACCGAAGGAATTCGTGGCCTTAACAACAGTTGAGGATGAGTACTCGGGAGCAAGCTAGGCAAGCAACCATGCAAAGGTTCTAGGCAATCAGTTCCAAATCAGAAGTTTGATTTCAAGTTCCGACTGATTGCTTCCTTTCTCCTTGTCTTGCACGTAAAAGCAAGGGCAAAGGAAAAGACAGGGAAAAAGCATGATATGGGATACTCTTGCTTTTGACCCTGATGATATGAGATACTTTTGTTCTAGTGTGACTTGTTTGTATAAGTATTATAGGGGGGAAGAGAGCTGAGTATTTCGAGAGACTTCGTTGGGAATGCCCTTTCGGATGTGAGGAAGAGTTAAGCTTTTTTTTTTTTGGCAGGTTTGCTTGGCTGTGTTGGATGGAGGTCAAAATATATAGGAATTGTCCCAACAGTGATTAGTAATGCTATTCCTTTACCCTTCTCGGTCAGAGCAATGTAGTGGCCGCTGTAAGATTCACATGTTTTAACTTTGTCAGAGCACTTTGAAAAAGTGGTCCGTGGTATCCAGAAAGCTGATGTTGCATGTGAAGATTGTAGAAAAATTTTATCCAAGGAAATCTGGCTCTCGAAGTTTGGAGAGCGGTGCCGCTTCGATTTTCGAAACAAACAATCTTGCTGGGGATCTGGTTCTCGAGATTCAGAGAGCGGTGCCTCTTTGATTTTTGAGCAAGCAATCTCGTTGGGGATCTAGTTCCCGAGATTCGGAGAGCGGTGCCTCTTCAATTTCTGAGTAAGCAATCTTGTTGGGAGTGCTTTCTCGGATGTGAGGAAAAGTTGGGCATTTTTGCAAGTCTGCTTTGCCACGGAGCATGGAGGTTGACACACATAGGTATTTTCCAGTTATCAAGCCATGGTGTTGTTCCTTTACCTTTGTGGGTAATAGTAGGATAGCTGGACCTTCAAAATTTACGTGTCTTAACTTTGTCAGAGTTCTTTGGCAAAGTTATCCTTGGTATCCGAGGAATTGATGTCGCGTGTGAAGATTGCTAATAAATTTTAACTCAGGAAAATCCGCTTCTCGAAATTCGGAGAGTGGTGCCTCTTCAATTTTTGAACAAGCAACCCTGTTGAAGATCTGGCTCTTTCTTTTATAGGGGCACCAATTAAGTTCAAGGAGTACGTTCAGAAAGCTACTGCTTGTAGAAATTTCCCCCTATTGTTGTACTTCTGAGATTTATTGGACCTATTTTTCCTTCCTCATTTCTGAAAATGTTTGGCCCATCTGATCGTCGTTTTGACTTGAATGTTGGTGAAGAGGTAGCCATGTCTTCTCAAGACAACATTTGGTGTCCATCCTTTTTATCCCATACTAGTCATATTACTGTTGGGGACTCTGTGATGAAGAATGACATGACTGCTGCAGTAGTGGCTAGGAATCTTCTCACTCCCAAAGATAACAGACTACTTTCCAGACGGTCCGATGAGTTAGCTGTTAAGGATTCTCTAGCTTTCAGTGTTCAGTGTGCAGGTTCTGTGTCTAACGCCTATTTGCTCGAACCCGCCAAGTTGATCATTGGCGGCTGAAGTGATAAGTCTCAAACAGGAGATCAAAGGGCTCAAGCACGAGAATAAACAGTTGCACAGGCTCACACATAGATATGCTACAAGTATGAAGAGAAAGTTTGACCAGTTGTAGGAATCCAAGGGTCAGATTTTAATTATCAGAGGTTTGTGAATTTGTTCAAAAGGCATTTATTGCCTTCATCCTCTAGGGTTGTACCACGTACTGAAGCTCCAAATGATCAACCTCTGGTGCCTCCTCTTTCTGGGGTTTTGCCCAGTACTGAGGCTCCAAATGATCACCCTCCGGTGACTCCTATTTCTGGGGCTTTGCCGAGTGCTGAGACTTCTCATGAGCAACCTTTGTGAAGGCCCCCTCCTGTTTGTTTGTTTTGATTCATGTGTATGCACGTATTTGTAATTTATCGAAGATATCAATAAATA